TTATTATGTATTTAAGTTTTAGCATTTGTCAAAAATAAAAAAAAATTAAAAAAAGGAAATATGCTTTGCATGACTTCACATATAAAATGGGCATAATATTGCTTGCCTTCTCAATGGGTAGGGGAGGGGCTGTAAGAAGGGAGAAAATGTAGAATTCAAAAAAAGTTTAAAAATTTTTTAAACATAAAATAGAAAAGGAAAAAAAAATAAAAGACGAAGCTTTGTTTAGAGTCATTAAAAACACAATGCCATTTCCCAAAGACTCTCCTCCTTTAGGAGACCTCTATAATACTTCAGGGCTTGACGCAATCAATGTAAAGTCATCCTCCAGAAATAGACACATCTGCAGGACCTCACTATCAGTTAGGAAGTATTCTTCCATTTGGACTCACATTTGAATGTCCTTCATGCTAGTAGCAAACACATCTGGCAAACACATCTCCCTATATTGTGCCTCACTTGATTTAATAATCAGAAGATTGCTGAACAAAGTTAACTCTGCTTTATTATCTTTCAAGGAATACTGTGTATGATTTTGACATATGCATAGGTTAACACCTTATTACAGTTTTTAAGGCAGTCTTCTGCTCTGACAAATCAAATGTTTTCTTGTAGTGAAAAAAAGTAAAAGAAGATCTTGTATTCTCTATGACTTTTCGCTGTGAATATAAAGTAAAAATAAAGTTGGGCACTGCAGTGGATAGAGAGCAAGGCCTGGAGGCAGGAAGACTTGAGTTCAAATCTGGCCTCAGACACTTGCTAGCTGTGTGATCCTGGGCAAGTCACTTAACCTCTGTTTGTCTGTTTCTTCATCTGTAAAATAGGGATAATAATAGCACCTACCTCCCATTGTAAAGCACCTGGCACACAGTAAGTGCTATATAAATGTTAGCTATTACTGTTGTTGTTGTTGTTGTTGTCTGCTATTGAAAGTCATTTTTGAAAACCTGTTTCCCTTTATACCTTCATCCAGGGTGTCCTTTAATTCATGTTGATCATTCTCATAAAAGTTTGGTAGAAATAAACTGAGCATATAGGTTGGTACTTATTAACCTTCTCTTATTCTACATTAGAAGCTTTCCAAATAAATATAGGAGTAATGCAAAGATGTTCCCTTCTCCCCACTATTATCTGATATAGTTTAAAAAATGTTAGCAATAATAGTAACACACAAGAATGCAATGAAAGGCATAAAAATAGGCAAAGAGACAAACCTATTATTATTTGCTGACATCATGTTTTACTTAGAAAATCCTAGAGAGAAGACTCCATACACACACACATACACATACACACACACATATACATACACACATATATATGTATGTTTGTACATGAGAGAGATTATATATCTATATAGATATATATCTCTAAGGCTCATACAGAAAATATGGTATACTAGAAAGAACACTTATGTCTGGAGTCAGAGAACATGGGTTTGAATCTCTGCTCTAATACTGACTACTGTGACCATGGTAAAGTCGCCATACCTCCCTAGGGCTTATTTTCCTTATCTTTAAAAGAAAGGATTGACTAGAAGATCTCTAAGGTTCCATCCAGCAACTATCAAAGAATAGTTATGAAAAATGGAACATTAAACTTTCACACAGTTTTGATTAAGTATAACTCATAGTTGTTCCTTTTGTACTACTATATGGTGATGGTACATTAGTATGGAGAAGAGCTGACAAGTCCATTCCAAAAACCAAGACGTGTACACAGTTCAGTATACAATCCAGTTTTCAGCGACGAGGGAAACTAACAAACCAACAATCACAATAACAATACAGAACGGTATAATAAGTAATGAAGTGTAGATTGGATTGGAGAGTGGAGAGATAATCACTAGATTACAAAACCTGTGACATCGGCTCCATCTCATGCTACCAGTTGTGCTATTCGAGCATCCATACTGGGCCTCCAGAGACTGTGCCTGGGAGGACCTAAGCCACTCATCTCTGAATTCCTTGGGACCATGTTTCTTTGGAAGAAGTTTGGAAGAGGTATGAGTTTGAAGGGGGAAAAGATGACGTTTTTTAGGACATGTTGAATTTTAAATGTCTCTGGAACATCCTGAGATGTCCAATAGGCAGCTGGTGATGCCCAGAGAGTAGGGCTGGATATCTGTGAGTCATCTGCATAAACGTGGGAACTGATGAGATCAGGAAGAGAAATTATGTAGAGAGAGAAGAGGCCAAGAAAGAGCCCTGATTAGAACTGTCTTCCCTCTAGAGTACTAATTTTGATGATTTCAACAGCAGGAAAGAACACAACTCAAATATACTTAAATTTAAGCATATTAGAGAAAATGATCACATCCTCTGGTGTCAGGAAGATGACATAGATACATCTAGATAGAGATCAACCTCATTCTTTTGTGATAAGAGGTCAATGTAGATTTCAGGAGAACTCACAAAACATCAAACCAAAATAACACAATGAACTAAGGGAAGAGAGATTAAAAATCTGTCAGGACTGGGGAGATAACCTGCAGAAATAAGAACACTAGCAACAGATTCTCATAGCAGTAAGACAATTATCAGTATTAAAATCATATACCCCAAGTGTTATGTTTTGACATTCTAATACTTAACATCAGAAGTTAGTTTTTATCCTTTATGGAGCTTTTTTATAACCTTAGTTTGTAGAAAGACTATTTCCTAGCAGGGTAACTCAGTCAGTCAATAAACATTGATAAAGCACTTATGTGCCAGGCATGGTGCTAAGTGCTGGGATACAAAAAGAGGCAAAAGATAAGTCTCTGTCTTCCCTCAGGGAGCTCACAAGCTAATGGGGGAAGACAATAAGCAAAGAAATATGTACAAAGCTCTATGAAGGATAAGTAGGAAATAATTAAGAGAAGGCATGCATTAGAATAAGAGGGGTTAGGAAAGGCATCCTGTAAAAGATAGGAGAAAGAGTATTTTGGGCACAAGGAACAGTCAGAGAAAATGCCCAGAGCCAAGAGATGCAGTATTTTGTTCTTAGAACAGCCAGGAGGTCAGTGTCATTGAACTGAAAAATACCTGTTGAAGGAGTAAGGTATAAGAAGATAGGCAGATTTGAGAATTGTTCACATAGAAATGGTAATTAAATCCATGGGAGCTGAGAGATTCACTGAGTGAAGTAGTATAGAGGAAGAAAAGAAGGGGGCTCAAAGGAGAAACCTGATGGACACTCAAGGCTAGAGGACGTGATAGACGATCCAGCAAAGAAGACTAAGAAGGAATGCTTGGACAATCTAGAAAGTATCAATGAGGAGAGAATGATCAACAATGTCAAAGGTTACAGAGAGGCAGAAGATACTGAGGATCAAGAAAAGGATAATTAGGTAATCACTGGTAACTTGGGGGAGCAGTTTCGATGGAATAATGAGGTAGGAAGCCAGGCGTTAAGAAGAAAACATTTCTCAAACCTCACGACCTCTATTAGAAATTTCATTAACTTCCAAAGAAATCAACAATTTAAATTTTATCAGTTTTCTAAGGACCACCATTTTCTGACTCCAGAATAGCTAAAAACTACCCATGTCCTCGAAATTTACAATTAAATTCACAACACATTTCTACAAAATATTTACAAGTTATATAAAATTAAAGTATATAACAAAGCACCAGATTCTACTCAATAAAGATTTATTAAGCACTTATATGCACAGTAATGCAATGATGAATCTTAACCTATTTTAAACAAATTAAATATTCTTATTTAAAGGGATTTTTTTTGTTTTTTTGCTTTTTTGGTAAGGTAATCGGGGTTAAGTGACTTGCCCAAAGTCACACAGCTAGTAAGTGATGTGTCTGAGGCCACATTTGAACTCAGGTCCTCCTGACTCCAAGGCCGGAGCTCCATCCATTGCGCCACCTAGCTGCCCCAGGTTTATTTTTTTTTAAACTGACCAGAAATGACCTGTTGACAAAATTCCTTGTTCCACCCAGCTCAATAATCAAGCGGGGACTTTAGACAATATTCATTTTAGTGCCACATGTATTACTAAATGTATTGCTTAGGTGGCCCCTGACCAGAACAGAGATTCCCACGGTTATTAAAAAAAAAATTGTTTAAAAGGTGGGGGAGAGAAGTATGGGGAAACGGCCTCAAGAAAAGTGAAGACATTTTTGTCACTTTGGAGTTAAGAAAAAACATGCTCCAAAGCATATGAACTTATAAAGTAGACCTACTTTAAAAGAGAAAGAATTATATCCTAAGTGTCCTGATAATTTGGGACTATCTTCAAGTAGTTAAAATCCTGCTACTCTCTAATGCTACAAGGATAAAAAATATATTTGTGTGCTCACTCCCTATTTCTACCAGCTCTTTACAATTCCTCAAATCACCTTTTCTGTTTGTCTCTAGAATTTACATGCATCCACTGACTTTGTATTTTTTATCCACTGTCCCTGATGTGATTGGGGTTAAGTGACTTGCCCAGAGTCACACAGCTAGTGAGTGTTATGTGTCTGACGCTGCATTTGAACTCAGGTCCTCCTGACTACAAGGCCCATGCATTATCCACCGCGCCACCTAGCTGCCCCCACTAATTCATTTGTAAAGAGACATTAAAAAACAAAGCAGTTAAAATCTCTCAAAAATAAAGACAAGGTAATCTGACATATTTTTAAAATGTTAGAAGAAATTTTAGTCACAGCTAATAAAATGATCCATATTATTCAAGTACTCCAAAATTAAAGTTATTAACTCACTCAAATAAACAAAGGAGCTATGATTTCATCATCACTGGGAATTCCCAGAATGGGGACCCTCTACCAGATTACAACCCAACTATGACTTAGGAGACCTAGAGTGTCATCTCTGATACAAAGAGGTTAAGTCATGTGACCAAAGTCACCTAGCCAATAAGTAACAGAGGAACGATTTCAACCAAAGTCTTTCTGATTCCAAAAGGAACCCTCCCAATCAGCATGCTAAGATGCCTCTTAATAATTCACATGATTCAAATCTTTAGAATTCCATGGGAATAACCCAAATCTAATACTTACCATTATCTGATCCTTCTGATTTCTCTGAGGAAGAATGTTCTGCAAAGAAAATTACACATTCATTAAAGCTTTACTATACAACACTTAGGCAATAACATGATATGGTACTGATAAGCAGTGCCATGAAGTTTAGGTGCTTTGTTCTCTGAATGTTTCAAATTTGTCAGTTGTGTCTTCCCAACTAGAATATAAATCCATTCAAAGGCCTGTGTTTCATACCCCCTTTGTGTGCATCTGCTCTCCAGAATGTGGGGCACAGTCCTTAGAACTTAGTCAGGCATGCCCCAAACACTTATTGATTGACTGGAAAGTCAAGGTGAATTAATAGCTCCAGTGGGGGGAAGGGTGACACTTGTCTGACCATAGTTGATTCTATCTGCCTGTCTATACTACAGATCTTTCACTTCTTAAAACAAAGTTAACATAAAACTAGAAATACAATAAAAAAGCACTGATTGCAGAATGGCTAAATAAATTGAGCTACATGAATATAATGGAATATTACTTAATCATAACAAAACAAAAGAAATATGAGGAATCCAGAGACACATAAGAAAACTTAAATGAAGGAGAATGAGCCAGAAAAACAAGATATACACCAAGACTGTCCCAAAAGAAAGTAAGTCTCTCAAGGGCAAACTACATTTACGTCTGTCATATCTCTAGGTCCTAGCATAATGCCTAGCATATAGTAAGTGATTAATAAATGTCTGTTGATTAAAACAATAATATAAATGAAACAAACATTAAAATGAAGCCAATTCTAACTCTAAATGAAGCCAAACAGTCAATGTTGGTTGGTTTTATTGTTTTGTGGTCTTTCTTACAAGGAAAGGGTCACCAGACAGGGGGAAGAGCATTATATCTAGAAATGACTGTGATGTAAAAAACAAAAGGCATCAATAAAACGTTAACTTAATTGTTAAAAAATAATTAAACCGAAGTAGATTAGTAGATAACCTAATCTCCTATCCCTTCTTCTACTACATAATCTCTTTCTTGCTATGAAATCAGGTTGTAATGTCAGGATAATAATCACATCAGGAAATTGCTGAATTGTTGTGAGTCAGCTGTGTTAGGTACTGTTTAAGAGGCAGAAGTGTGGATGAATGAGAAAGCTGGACAGCCATCAATATTCAAAGTGGAATTCCTAACATTTGTTTACATGAGTGCCCACCTATCATCTCTCTGAATCACATGTAACACTTGGGAGCTCAGAAGTATATCCCAAGAGAAGGACAAAATGGAGGTAGGCTGGGTGGGAATGGATAAGCCTTGAGAACACAATAAAAGGACTATCACATTATATATTTCTGCATAATGGGATTATTACTGGCCAGGGGAAATTTCATATATGAGTCTAATTATACACACACTTCATCTATTACCATTTCACATTATCCTTCCCCATACAAACACATATCTGGTCTTAAAAAATATCTAGAAAACATTAATAAAGAAAAAAGGAAGTTTAAGTGGTAACTTTTATTTCCTCCTCAAAAATATTTGTGTATGCACAGCATTATTAGAAAAATTTCTAGAGAAATTTTTGCATCCTTAAAGTACTTTGCAAACAAACATTAATTTTCATAACACCCCAAGGACATTAGAGGCAAGAACTGTTTTTCAATACCTGTCAGTAGCATACACAAGTAGAGGCACAAACCAAAGGCCTTCACTTCCATATGCAATTTTCTAAGAATTTCCGTTACAGAGAAGGTGGTGACTTGAATCAGTTACAAGGAGCTCCCACATCTGGGAATTTCCTAAACTAATGAAATCATTCCACTGCATTTCCTAAGTGAGGGAAAATTACAAAAAAGGAAAAAAAAGAGCTAGCATATAGAGCACATCAAGGTTTGCAGAATGCTTTACATAAGCTCTCTCATTTGATCCTTATACCAGGCACTCTTATTAAAATGATAAAGAGCTCAGCTGTTACTCTCTTGTTGTTCAGTCATTTCAATGGTTGGACTCTTTGTGACCCCATTTAGATTTCCTTGGCAAAGATACCTGGGCAGCTAGGTGGCACTGTGGACAGAGTGCTGGGCCTGGAGTCAGGAAGACTAATCCAATATCTTTGCCAAGAAAACCACAAATGGGGTTCACAAAGTCAGACACGACTGAAAAAAATGACTGGCACAGATATTGGAGTGGTTTGCCATTTCCTTCTTCAGCTCATTTTACAGATGAGAAACAGGCAGAGTTAAGTGACTTGCCCAGACTCGCATAGATAGTAAGTGTCTGAAGCTGGATTTGAACTCAGGAAAATGAAGTCTTCCCTGATTCCAGGGTTGGCACTCTATCTACTGTGCCACCTAGCTGTCCTATGTTACTCTAAGTCAGGGATGGGGAACCAGTCACAGGTTCCCTATCCTTGCTCTAAGCTACTTAAGCAAACAAAGCTAGCAGCAAGGCAAAAACTCAAATCTCCCCTGATTATCGAGCACAGTCCTGCTTTCCCCACTTTCATTCCAAGTGGATACCTCGTAGACCAAAGCTCAGCAGGCACGAACTCTTTAGAGGCCTGCATGAGAGAACTAGTGGGCAGAGATAACAAACTGTGAGGCAGGTATGGTTTCCTCCGCCAAGAGCCAAACAAATGCTTTCTTGTTCATTTTCTCCTATTCATCTTCTATGAATAAGAAAGCAAATAAAAAGTAGCTAAATACTTGGCAACAACCTAATAAAAAGAGATTTATTCATTCAACAAGCACATATGTATACTATAATTTTGGGTAGGTTGAGGTAATTTGATGTGGAGAAACACCAAAAAGGCCAACCTGATTGATTATGTAATTCATTTACTCAATATTTGGGTCTTAAAATCACTGACCTCCCATACTATTTCAGAGCTCAGAGTAAATCTGAATCCCAGAAATGGCCCTAGAACACATTCTACCTATATTCCTGGCCCCCCAAACCCAGATAAGGCTTGGGACAAACTTCTCAGATATATTCTCACCTAGTTCTTTATTCCTGTGACCAGACTGGGGATAATAATCTACTTTTCTTTACATATATGTACATGAACTTAGGGAGATCCAACATATTCCTTGTTGCCTAGTTGCTTGAATAACTATCTTATAGGTATCATATATGTTCTTATAAGGTAGGGACTCTAAAAAATGTAGTATGTAGAATAATGAGGACATGTGCACATGAATGGCTATTAACGACCCTAAAACAAAATGATCTAAACTAATAAAATTTAATTTTTATAATAACATAATTAAGAACTAACTGATCACTCCAAATTAAACCACTTAAAATTTTATTAAAAATTATAACGTACGTATGTGCATGTTGAATGAATAAATCTCTACAATTCCTATTATTATTTTAAAATTGATGCAAAGGCTGAGAGACAAGAGACAAGACAAAGTAAGAATTCTGCTTTCAGCTCTGTTTCTTAACACAATGTGAATATGTTTTCTCTATAGTTTAAATGACTTGGTCAAGCTTAAACCTAGCTCAAAACATATGAAAGGGCATTTATAATTTAGTTATTTGCTTTTTTTGTCCAGACTTGTGATTTCACTAGAGTGGGGAATTGACAATGTGGGAACTCCCTTTATTGATGCATTCTAGCAACTCATCTGTAACTGAGAGCCTTAGAGAGTTGTCAATGATACTGAAAGGCTTGGCTTGTCCAGGGTGACAAAACTACAATTCTCAGGTAGAACATGCCATCAAGATTTCCTAATTTCAAAACTGGCCTTCAGACTATGACACTTCACCATAATAATTCACTAGAAATACAAGGGAAAAAACACAGTATGCATATTTCCATAAGTGGAGCAAGACAGCCCTCTCCTGTCCAAAGATATAATTCAGCTTTAGCTCTGAAATTCTAACATTATCATTGGGATTGGATCAAATTCATAAGACATTTAGCTTCTAAGTTATCTGCTTGCTTCTGTTGATTATTCATTATAATGATAAGGAATTTAGTGAATTTAAAGTCAACTTCTCATCATGGGCCCACAAGAACAAAAAAGTTACTCTCAGAGTGAGACTTAAAATTTAATTTATCTAAAATTTTTTAAAGGTAGATTTCAACTTGTAGATGTGGGAGTAACCTCAGATATCACTTGGTCCAATTCCCTTATTTGACAGATGAGAGTCTTGCCCAGTCACACAAAAGGTGGGATTAGGATTTAATTTTCTTGACTCTCTGCCCATTGGCAAGTTACAACTTTTGAAATGTTGAAGACATTTGGAATATCCCCTTATATCTTTTGCACTTTATATCTGAAGAAGAGTAGTGAGGTTCAATTTTATATTTATAAATGGATTTTATATTTATGCCTTTTAAATTTTTTATAAACATAAATTACATATTGATTTCTTCATACCTTTACCCTTCTTTTTCTTGGAAGTCTGCATTTTTGAAGAAGATAATTTGGATCTTTTATGTGATGATTCTTCACAATCTTCTTCAGTTCTATGCCTTATCTTTTTTGGTTTGACTTCTTTTCTCCTTTATGTTAAAAATTAAACAAACAGTAGACTTTATATGATTTTTCCAAACAAGAAGCAATGTGTGAAAAAGTGTCAATTAAGAATTAGGAATAATCATTATGATGATGATGATAATGATGAAAGTAAGAATAATAATAATAATAATAATAATATTAATAGCATTTATATAGTGCTTTAGAGTTTGCAAAATGCTTTATATACGTCATTTCATTCAGTATTCACAACAACCCAATTAGGTAGGTTATCATATCACCATGTTACAAAGGAAAAAACTGAGGCAGAAAGAATCTAAGTGCCTAGAGTCATAGAGTTAGTTAAGCATCTGAAGCATTTGAACTCAGTCTTTCTGACTGTAAGTCCAGCACTCTATCCTTTATGTCACCAAAAAATAGTTGCTTTTTTAAAAATGCAATCGAAATAATGGAACATTATAAATACAATCATATTTTAATGTTAATTTGAAAGGTTTCTACCATAGAAACTATGCTATTAGAAAAGGGGAACACCGGTTGAGAGTGAAAAACACACTCAAACACCACAACCTACCCCCTCTAACTCCCGCCTTCTTTAACTTATTTTTTCTTTCTAGGCTGTTTCTGACATTAGGAGACAAAGCAATTGGGTGGTGTTGGGAAGAATAAATAAGAAGAAATTCTTCTTTTCCAAACTCTAACAAGTAAAATATTTAATGAGAACTCCAAATATTTCGATGGTGCAATGATTTTGATCTCTAATGTCAATGTAACTATTTTGAATGTCACAGCTTATTTCAAGTAAATTTATTAAAAGGGAAAGAAAATACTACTTCACAATTCCATCGATGGTTCTTTAAGAGACCTAGTCCATCTAAAATCTCACCAAATACACTAATAAACTCCAAAGTAGCAAGCAGATATTTTTGAATGAACATCCATTACATTTTTAACATCTGTAGATAGGTCAAATTTGTGACATACAATAATACTATTTTTTAATGTGCTATCTGAATTCTGTACAATATGTTGGGATTCTTTATGTAATCAATGAGTGCCCATTTTACAGGATTTGGTCAATAATTTTACTATGTTAAGTGACCGGTGAGTTTTAGAGTTTTTCTATCTTTGATTTTAGGACATACTACTGGTCATTATCTGTAATCTAAGGCCAAGTCCCCTTGATCAAAAACACAACAATTCAACTGTAACATTGTTCCTATAGGAAACTATAAACTGCTACACGGAGATGTTTTATGACATAATTTCCTGAAATGCACTGAACCAAAAAGTTGGAACTATCTGTTACAGTATCTGAGAAAAGGCTCTCCAACAAAAATTTCAACACCCATCCACTGTACCTATACAGGGCTATGAGCTTATAGCTATACATAATTATACATACCTAAAACACTTAGCACAGTCCTTGGTAATCAGCAGGTATTTAATAAATGTTTACTGAATGACTGATCAAAATGGATAACGAGCAAGCACCATATTCCTGGCTTATAAGGGCATATAATGGAGTCCTGACATTCTATACAACTATCTAACCATTTGGCCAAGCAAACAACCCTCAAACCAATATTTAGGCATCTAACATAGGTAAATAAACACCTACTTCAAGGGTACTGATGCAGTAGTAGACATGGTATTTGAGATGCCCAAATGAAATTTGTTTTAAAGATTATATTACCTGTGATGAAAATTTAATCGGAAGGAACATTCCTGGCAAAGTCCTAAAAGAAATATGTGATAAAATTTATTTAACTAAATTTGTATAAACAAATTATCATACCATTTTTAATTTCACAAATTTCCTTTTTTTCCAAAATGTTCTTTCTCAAGTAGTATTAATGGAAATAATTTGATAAAGAAATAATAGGCATATTATCTGTCTCTCCTAACCTCAAAAAGATGTCATAAGCATAATCAAAAAAGGGTTGGGGGAGAAATAAAGTTAGATAAGCATATCCAGCTGATTAAAAAATATTATAACATTACTTTAGGGGGGAAGAAGGAGTAAAGGGTTACCAGTATGTTCGATAAACAAATTAACAGAGGTTGCTGCCAGCACCAGCCCGTTTCAATTCAAAGAAATCTAAGAACAACCACCAGTTTATATATAATATCTTTACTCTTAAGAGACCAATGAACTTTCAAATACAGCTAAAGCTCCAACTTTTAGGTGCTTGATTATCCAGGCTCCTTGCTCTTGATCCAACTGGCTGACCTTTAGATGAAATAATGGCAGGAAATGATCAGAAGCAAGGAATGGAGATCAGATTTAAATATGTTCTTTTCTTCAATACTTTTTACCAGCAAATAGTGGCCATTAGTGGCTTAATAATCACAATAAATGCTTTTTCACTGTTAAAATAAAATTCGGAGATTATTTGCGAATTTCCTTGATCCACAATATCAACCAGTCCATTAATACATATAATAGAATGTTACTTTATTTTTCTTCAAAATATCTACATGACTTAGGAAAGCACAGAGACCGATTCCCATATGTGTGCCCACAGAAAACGTAAAGCAAGAGCAACTAAATATCTTACTCAAGTTTATGTGGTAAATTATTAGAACCTTGGTTGTTTGATTTCCAATTTAATATTCCCACTCGAAAGAAGTGGTGGTATCTTACCTCCTAGATTGTCTATCCAGGTCCTAAAGAAGGCCACATCAAGCAAGGTCTGGGACCAGGCATGAACACTGGTGTAGTGTATGAACAGTTGAATGTTCATGCTCCTCATGCACTCCAGAGTCAAATACAAAAGATTTCTGAATTACCTATTATCATATATTATACATACTTTTGTCTTCTCCCCTTCAACGCAGAAATAACTATGTTAATCTCCAAAATCTCTCGTGACAACTACACTTTGCCAGTCAAGAGACAGTGATCAGGATCTTATAAAACAACTTCCTCTCATTGTACTTATGTGACTTACCTCCGCTACAGCACATCAGTGGTGAATAAAAGTAACCTCAGAATACTTTCTACACTGAAGTATGCCTTTTTGGACAGACAAAGTCTCATGCTTTCTGAAATTATTTTTAGATTATCATGCTCCCCTTTATAAATGTAGATAGTTAAGAATTGATTATATGTTTTTTTAAAAAAGCTTTTTTCTCTGATAATAAATGTATATATGGATATACATGTCTTAACCCTAAAACCAGTGACACCTCATTTTGACAGATACAGAATTATTTCTACAAACTACTGATGCACAATTATTAACAATAAGACTAATTGATGATACTTATATAATGCTTTAAGGTTTAAAAGGCACTTTATATATGTTATCTTATTTGATCCTTACAACAATCCTGTAAAGTAAGCATACATTTAGTAGTAGCATGAAAAGATAACACAATATTGATGTGCTAACTTCCTCATTAATCAACAAGAATTTATTAAGTAATTAATATGTGGTAGGTTCTGGAGACACAAATATAAAACTGAGACAATCTTTGCTCTCGAGGAGCTTATGTTCTGAGGGAAATATCCCATATTTACAGATAAATAAATATAAGAGGCATACATAATAAGCACATGGCTTTGGGGGGGGGGGGTAATAACAAATAATAACTGGGAACTCAGAAAAGGCCTCTTATATGAGGTGACACTTAATAAGCCTTGCAGGAAGCTAAAGGTTTCAAGAGAATAAAGTAAGTAAATGAAGCACTGCAGGCACGAGGGGATGTTCAAAGGATGTTGTGAATGGAGAACAGCAAATAGACCAATTTTGTTAGAGTGTGAGGTTCATGAGGATACAGAGTAAGGGGTAATCCACCTGTAAAGACGGGTTAGAGCCAGACTGTGAAGCGCTTTTAAACACTAAACAGAGAAGACTGTGTTTTAACTTAAAAGCAAGGGGGAGCCAGGAGAAAAAAAAAGCACTAGGGCTTCTTGAACCTAGAAGTCCCATTAGAAATCATGAGGCACAGGGCAATTTTGAGGAAGTCACTTAATTTTAACTTGTAATTAGACCAAGTAATTTTTTAACAATAGACATATGATTTCCAATTTTGCCTTATCTGCTAATGAACATTCATTAATAGTTTTAAGAAGTAATTCTAGTTAGACGTCATGTTAAATCAAAAACAATCCTTTCCAAATCAACTTACTTAATTTCACAAGTGCATTTCTCTTTTCACCATGTTCAACATAGCCAAAATTCACTTCCCAACTCTTTAATCCTTCTTTTTCATTGCATCGTTTATTTCCACAGAAAAACTGACCTGAAAAAGAGTCACATAGAAAATTCTCCTTAGGTAATTAGTTAAAATTCCATATGTCTATGTTTCATTTCTGACCTGTATCATGTAGTGTTGTTGTTCAGTCATTTTCAGTCATATCCAACTCTTCGTGACACCATTTTGGATTTTTCTTAACAAAGATACCAGAGTGGTTTGCCATTTCCTTCTCCAGAATGATGTAGCATTAGCTGCTACCTAAGTCTAAAATCCAGATCTAAAAACAGTTTAGATCTAATCTAGATTTAAAATGGAAACATATCCTATGCAACATAAAGTCAATTTTCCAAACACACACACACACACACACACACACACACACACCATCCATGCTAAATCATATATTACTATTTCTTAACGCTGCAGCAGTCTAGGACACAGGGTCAGCCTTGAAGTCAGGAAAATCTGGGTTTAAGTTCTGCCCCTGACACATTTTGCCTGTGGGACCATCTACAAGGTAACTCACTCAATCTTTCAATTCCCCAGGCAACACTCTAAGGTTAGGTTGTGGAAGACATGCCAATCTGCACTAATAGAAGGAATTCGTTCTGGGAGTTCTCTACCTCAATTACATTTCAGGTCCAGATTGCTCCCATAAACAAAAAAAAATACTATGTCAACAGTGTAAAAATTACCAGCTAAGAAGCAAAAAATTCAGTTAGATTCCTCAATTCCCTTGCAAGATGGATACTCAAGTATTACATGATTTCCTGCTTTTCAATTTTGCTTGCATCTTTGCACAGATAATTTCACATTTGACACAAACAATGCATTTACTTCATACTTAACTTTTTTTTTTTTTACTTTTAGGCAATTGGGGTTAAGTGACTTGACCAGGGTCACACAGTTACTAAGTGCCAAGTGTTTGGTCTGAGGCCGCATTTGAACTCAGGTCCTCCTGACTTCAGGGCCGGAGCTCTATCCATTGCGCCACCTAACTGCGCCCCCCATAGACTTAACTTTGAACAACATAAACAGGCACTAATGCTGACAGGATAAATAAAAATAACTTATTTAAAATGTTTAACCTGGATTTTAAATTTAAACCAACAAAAATAATCTTTTCAAAACACTGTAAAAGTCTCTATATGGTTTTACATAGAGATATCATGTGTAAAAGCACTATACAAATAGAAGTTATTCGTAAAGATGCTAAAATACCATAAAAGAATTGTGGAGCAAAAATAATTACTTCTAATTATTTACTATTTGAAACACTAAACTGATGTAACCTTTAGGTGAAAGTTTATAAACAGGTTACAACAGGTGATTAGGAGCCTAATTGCTTCTTTATAGATAATTTAGAATAATCAAATAGAACCATTTTCTAAACAATGGGAGTCAGTCAGTCTAGAAAATCTATTAGTATCAAAGTAATATTTACTTTCTGTTTTCAAAATGTAGATTTGGCTATCATACAGTAATACCTCTATTAGTCGAGTAAACAGGATCCATTAACATACTTTGTTGTCACAAACCATTAAGACAGGAAAAAGTAACACAGGTGGCACAGTCATGCATGCCAGGATGTCAAAAAAAAAAAAAAAGAGAGAAGGGTCACATTATGAAAACAGCACAAAATACAAACTAAAATATATCAAATGTGCAGGTATACTCATCAATGAGGCTGTTTTCTCTGAGTTTGAATATATTAATTCACATCAATTAACTTTTACTTATTTTGTCAAAGACCTACACAAGCTAGAGATAAAAAGACAACAAGGAAATGATTCCTGCCCTCAAGGAGCTTATGAATATAAGCTACTGTGGGAACACAATGCTTAGAGAGGGGGACATAAGAGGGATCTCCCAGGAAAGGGCATCTGAGCTGACCTGAAATGAAAAAGGGTTCTGAGGGCAAAAACCGGGAGGAAGCACACTCCAGGCTTGGGCAAATGCAGGTAGTCACTTACATGTGTACATGTTATTGCATCCAGCCCCAACAAAATGTAAGCCCTGTGAAGACTGGAATGGTTTCACCTCCGTCTTCACAGCCCAGCACTTAGCAAGATTCTGGGCACAGAATGGACTCTAAATAAGCTTGCTGTAAGTGGAAAGCAGCGGGTGGCCTACTTTGTGGACCACCAAATAGCCTAGTATGGCTAGAAAGTAAAGTCCACGAAAAGCAACAATAAGAAACAAAGCTTCAAAGCTGCCATAAAAGTGGAGTGCTTTAAATTCCAGGTGGTGAAGTTTGCATTTGATCTGGCTCCAGATGGAACAGGGAAGGGAGAAAAGTTTGAACTGAAGAGGAGATTTAATTTTGGACTTAAGAAGAAAACTACTGATGAAATTTGGGAGAGCTGGAGAAGTTTAAAGAGAAGGGCTCAAGCCAAAGGAAAGGGAACGTGAGGACCTAATGGGAAGACAAAGAAGGACCTGCAGAGTAAAAAGAAGGAAGAGGACTCTGGGAAGAAGAGGGAGAGACTGGAAAAACCAGGTCACTACAGCACACGGGAAGACAAGGCAATAGATAAGATGGTCCATACAAAAGGCATGATAAAATGAAGGGATAAGAAACTCCTTAGGAAGTATAAAAGTGGTACTGAGGAAGGGACAGTTTTCTGTTGAGGCAAAACTGGATGTGTGCCCCACAGCTGCCCCAAGAAGCTGTCAGTAAAAGTGACAAATGACTGAGGAGCGAGTGCAACATGAATGGAAAGCAGGGAGACCTTTGCCATGACTTGGACAGAAGGTGTAACACCTGTGTTTCTGACATAGCTAACTGACTGTTATCTCTGCTCACTAAAACACACAGGAGTCTGAGAGAGGAAAAGGCCATGAAGAGGCAGAAGGGAATCCTGATCTTCTTGGGAGAGCAGAGGCAAAAAGAACATCCTGCCAAAGAAGACAAAGAAGAAAAACAGTCCTGCTGATCTCTATGAAGCCCTGTCTAAGGAAGAGGCTGGTCGGACATGGCTGGGCTACAGGGTGAAGAGAACCCAGGAATGGTCACAAGAAGAGATAAGGACTGGTGGCTCGGGACTCCAGGCTGAGAGAGACTGAGGCAGTTAATTGTTATCTGATAATGACAGCAGGTTCTTCTAAACAGAAGGTAGTCTTCAGCACAAAAACTAGGGACACAAGCAATATTTTCACTGCTGCCATTGGTCAAAGGTGAGGGCTTTAAAGGAGAAAGATAGAACAGTTATTTAAGGAGACAGACTCTCCCAGTGATTGGGGAACAGCCAAATTGTGGCACACAAATGTAATGGAACAGCACTGAGCTGTAAGAAAAAAATGAATATGAAGAATTCAGAGTAGCATGGGAAGGCTTAAATGAACTAATACAGAATGAAGTAAGAACAAGGAAAACAATATGCACAATGACTAAAACAATGCAAAGAATAAAGTGAATGGTATATAATTATAATGACCAAATTTGTCCTCAGAGAAGAATTGAGTGAGTATAACTCCTTTCCATTTGCCAGACTGGGGGTCTATGGATGTGTATTATTGTACATGCTGTCAAAATAATTAATATAATAACTTTTTGTGGTTGGAAAGCGGGGCTTAACTGCTTTTTGTTCTTTTTTAAATCGTTTATAACGTATGGCTCATTGAGTAGGGATATGGATACATCTGAACATAAAGGCGATGCAAAAACAAACAAAAAGATAAAATAAGATAAACAATAAAAGATGATAAACTGCCAAATCAAAAAAGGAAGAAAATAGCATCTGAGAACAAGATTTGGATTTCTATACCACAGCTTGAAATATAAAAAGGATACCCTGAAATATAAAAAAGATTTAAAATGGAAAAGGAAGAGAGAGGGCAAAAACTGCCTAGGCATGTCCACCAAGATAGATACCAAAGGAAATACAGACAATGTAGAAAAAAGAATAGGAGTAATTATAATCAGAAATTCACAGGAAATGAAATGCCAAAAAGAGAACCATTGTCTTAGATGCACAATGTATGAGTTAACAAGCAAGATTATCTAGCATTCCTACCGAAAAAAAAAAAAACGTGACCTTGTAGGTTTCATCAAAATCTGATAGAATGAGAACTACTGAAATATGGCTCTGTAAGGTTATATCTTATTCACAAATAACAGGATAGATAATAGGGAGTGTTGGTGTGGCAGAGCTCTAAGAGAACACACTCATATGAAGAAATCTAAGAACTATACAGGGAACCATGGGGGCAAATATCAAGTGAAGCTCAACAGGGATAGGAACAGAAACAATACTGTCATCAGCATATTATACAGGCCACCTGGGCAGAAAGAAGAAATTGAGTAACACATCAAAGCCTAGCACAGAGGCATGATAATAGTAAGTGATGGGAGACTTCAAATTACTCAAACATGTGCTCTTTAGGCTGAAATTGGAACAGCTAATATCTTCCTGATTTGCTTTAATGTTGATTTTATCCTTCAAAAAGTGGAGAAACTAACCAGGGGAACTTCTATACTGGATTTCATTCTCACTGACAAGGAAAAACTGGTTTCTAGGATGGAAATGACTGAAACCATAAAGGGAAGTCACTGCTCCATCTTTAAATTTTATAACACAAGAGGAGAGATAGGCATAGTTTGACATACACCCTAGATTTTAGAAAAGCAAATTTTAAAGGGTTCAGTTTAGAAAAGATAGCTAGGATCCTATGAACTATAATTCTACAAGGGAAGTCAGCACTAATGATTAGAAGCACTAAAGATTTAAATTCTGAAGATACTAAGAGAATTCCAATGAGGTAAAGGAGAAGTTGTCTAAAGAGAATAATGTGGATACAAAGGGAACTCATCAAGCAACTTAAATAAAAAATAAGTAAATAAAATAAACATGCACAAAAGATAGAAGGGCAGGTAAAAGAGGGTGACTACTAAAGAGCAAGTGGTATAGTCCTGTAAGACTAGTGCCAGGAACATTAAAGCTCAAAATGTGCTATGGCCATCAAAGAAAACTAAGGATGGTGAAAAAAATTTTAGGGTAACAAAGCGTTTTATTTTATGATTATTATTTTAGCTATATTGCGGGGGGAGGGAAGTAGATCAAAGAAGGGACAGTATGGTAGTAATGGCAATAGCTGTTCAATTATTATTTTGCTTCTGTTTTTTCTGCTAAGGACAATGATCTCTGAATTAGAAAGAATAGGAAAAAATGGCTCCTAGGAAACTAATATGAATGATAATTAAGGGGACAATAAGAAAGAATCAAGCTATCCTTTAGGAGCTCAGGATACTAGGCCTGGATAACTAGGGTCATGAAAGAACAGGCAGATGTGATTGCCAAACCTCTAGCAGCAATCTTTGAAAGAATGGGGAGAATGGAAGAGGTACTACAGGATTGGAAAAGATCAAATATCCTGACTTTAAAAAAAAGGAAAGAGAACAGAGTCAGCAAATTACTAATCAACCTGACTTCAATTACTGACAAAATTCTATAACATATTATTAAAAGTATGGTTAATTAACAAGTAACTGGCTTTATCAAGAGTTGGTTATACTAGACTAATATTAATTCCTTTTTTGATAGAATTACTGGATTGACCAACTGAATTACTAGACTACTAGATTATTAGAGAGAATTTACCTAGATTTTAGCAAAGTAGTCTTTGACAGTCTTGATAGTCTTTCATGCCATTCCTGGAGGGGGAAAGGAAAATATGAGCTAAATGACAGTGCAGTTAAGAGGAACTGTGGGAAGACAGGCACACTAATACACTGCTGGTGAAGCTGTGAACTGGTTCAACCACTCAAAAATTATTTTAATTATGCTATGAAAGTGACTAAACTGTTCATACCATCCTCTGACACAGAGATGCCAATGCTAGGCATTTACACCACAGAGGTCAAAGACAGAAAGAAAAGTCTCATATAAACAAGAAATATTTATGGCAGCACTTTTGTAGGAGTCGAGAACTGGAAATAAGGTAGATGAAAAAAATAGACAAGCTTAGAGAGACAAATGTACTGATGCAAAATGAAGTAAACAAAAACCAGGAAAACAATATAAATACAAATACTAATTATAATGAGCAAGCCTGTCCCTCTCCCCCTCCAGAAGACATGAGAAAATGTATTTCCTTTTCTTTTTGCCAAGGCAAAACTTTTTGCTAATATGGTATGGCTCTCTGGAGAGGGGAAAAAGGAATGTATACAAAAATAAAGATAATGTAAAAACAAGGTATCAATAAAAATGTTTAAATTAAAATAAGAAACTTGTCAACAGACCAGGCCTGAAGTATGATCATTAATGACTCAATGTCAACTTGGAATAAGATCTCTAGGGCAGAGCCCCCAGGGATCTGTACTTAACTCTATTTAAAATATTTAACAAAGGCTTGAAGAAAGGCAGGTGGGATAGCTAACACACTGGATGAAGGATCCAAAAAAATCTTGACAGACTAGAACACTGTTCCAAACCAAATAATATGAAATTAATGTGATAAATGTAAAGTCTTAACCATTACTTGGGTTAAAGAACTCAACTCATAAAAACAAGATTGGGGAGGCAACAACTACGTAATTGTTTGTTTGAAAAAGAAACCAAAAAAAAAAAAACTAATGTAAATTTAGGTTGCATTAAGAAAGGCATTGTGACTAGGAAGGTGATAGTGTAGATTCAGCCTACCCTAGTTGGACCATATCTGGTGTATTCTATTCAGTTATATTAAGAACACTGGAAAGCTATGGGAGTATGCAAAGCCAGGAAACCAGGACAAAAAAGGGTTTCAACTTCATTTAGCATGAGAACTGAAGTAATTAGGGATGTTTAGCTGTGTGAAAAGAAAATAGCTAATAAGGGAGACATGATAGCAGTCTTCAAATATCTGAGGATTGCCCAACTGCACAGAACTAGGAGCAATTGGTGGAACTCCCAGTGGCGGATTTAAGCTTGATGCAAAGAAAAACATCCTAATTATTTAAGTAGAAAGGGCTGCCTTGGGAGAGAACGGATACTGTCTCACTGGAGATCTCCAAACAAAGACTGGGTATTTATCACGTATATTATGGAAGACCTTCAAGAACAAGTGGAATTATGATGACCTCTTTCAAGACTGAGATCCCATGGTTGGTTAAAATACTTTAAGAAATGGTGATAACCTTATGGGAACACTTTTTGTGGAAAGCAAAGAACTGAAAACTCTGGCTTTCAGTAGATACCCATTAACTGGGAAATGGTTAAATACACTGTGTACATGAATGTAATGAAATATTACTGTGATTTAAGAAGATAAACATGATAAATATAGAGAAGCATAAAAACACATGAACTGATGAAAGTGAAATAAGAAAAGCCAGGAAAATAAAATACACAACTTCAACAATGTAAACAGAAAGAACTACTACCATAAAACTACTGAAAATGAAGGTGGTAAAATTATAAAGAACAAACTTGTCCCCTGGAAGAGATACAAGAAAGCTACAGAAGAACTGAAGTGTATTTCCTACAGTAGGATACAGGACCCTTACTACAGGTTCCAAAAGTCTGCTGAGATTAGAAGAAACAAATATATAAAAAAGAGTATGATCAGAAAAAAATGATACTTGGAGGAAGATCAATAAACCAATTAAGAATCTAGAGATTATGCCATATTAGAGAAAAACTGCTGAGAAAAAAAGTTTAAAATAAATATTTAGAAGCTACCTGATAAAGAATGACTATAGTAAGCAGTTTATTAACATATCCAATATGCTTATTACATTTTTGTTGAAAGTAAAATAATTTTATACTCATTTGCTCATATGTCACATGTACATCTTCTATATAAGGCAGCTAGGTAGCACAATAGATAGAGTGCAGGGCATGGAGTCAGGGAGACCTGAGTTCAAATCTGACCTCAATCACTAGCTGTGTGACCCTGAGCAAATCACTTAATTCTGCTTGCTTCAGATTCCTCATCTGTAAAATGAACTGGAGAAGGAAATGGCAAACTACTCCAATATCTTCCAAGAAAACCCCAAAGAGGGTCATGAAGAGTCTGACACAACTGAAAAAAAAAAAAAAACCAAAAAACTAAACAACACATCTTCTATATAGTTCTATTAATATAGATATTAACTGTGTAAGCCCAGAAATAACTTTCACCAATGCTATTTAGAAACATAATAAATAGCCTGTATACTGAAAGGAAAAAAATTACCTTTTCCTGAAACTACTTCTTTTTCTATTCGCCATCGAAATCCAAACTAACAAGAAAAAAATTACATTAAAAGAGAGATACATTTTAACATTTTAAAATCAAATCAAACTTGAGACCTGATTTAGAATAATCAGACATTTCAATCTAATTAAAAAGATCACCATCAAAAAAACTACAATATTTCTTTTTCTGTGAAATCAAGAGAATAAATTATCAACTTATTGTTCCTCATTTATTCTACTTACTTCAACCCAACATTGAAGCTCCTAGGGTTTATAGATGTTAGTAAGTATCAGTTCATGTCATCTATGAAGTTAGCTCAGTGAATAATATGTATTTCTCAATGTTGCTAACACAGAAATGTTGGTCCTATGATGACATCAGGCTGACCAAACAAATAACAAATAATCAAATGACTCTCGCTACCAAGAGAACTGTTGAAATTAAAAAGTTCAAGTTAAACTCCTGGTCTAAGCAACCTCAGCCAGGAAGGCATTTATTGACCTTACCCTTGCTATTATTCAGTAGACTCCTCTTTCCCCCCAATAAGGCTGGGCCAAATATGGTCAGGAGTAAGAAGTGAAGCATGCTTGGACTCCTGGTGAAAAAGTAGTACTCTCCACCCTTACCCCAAACAGCTAGTCAAGTTTTCTTCTCCAAATCAAGAACTCCCACATTCAGATGTTATTTTGATTATAATTTTAACAAAGGGTCTATTTTTCTACTTGGGACTCTTTTATTCTGGGTTATTTTTCCAGGACCTCCACAACACTCAGCAACTTTCTACTATAACCCCCCTTCCAGATCCCCTTTATATGTTGTCATCCCCCATTAAAATGTTAGCTCTTTGGGAAAGGGGACTATCGTGCTTCCTCCTGGAAGCTCATACCATACCCAGACTACTTCTCACATTAGAAGTACCCTGCCACCCCTGAAGCCTCTCCTTTTGATGGGCTGATTCTGGCTGATTCCTCCAAGAACACACATTTTAAGGAGAAGGCCCAGGTCTATCATACTGTCATTCTTCATCAAGATGCACTCCTGATTCTCCACAGGAGTTTCTGTACCATGTCCCCACTATGAATACCTTCATTTGCACCTCTTTCTCCCTTTTTAGCACTGTTTTATGTTTTGTCTTCCCCTACTTGAATGTAAGCTCCTTGGGGGCAGGGACTGTCTTTCTGCTTGTATGTGTATCCCTACAGCTTAGCACAGTGCCCGTTAGATAGTAAACACTCTATGTACTTTCTATGTTAAATGTTAATGAGGAAAACAAAGTAAAAAAAATTCACGTATAAACTAAAGCCCAACAAAAATAAAATCAACTCGAAATACTAGGCTAAATACTAGAATTAAATGTAAACTCTCCAGACTGTTTTTTAAAGCCTTCTCCAATCTAGTTCCTACCCCCCTTTCCAGAATTATCTGTCACTTCCCTTCACACACTACGTTCCAGTCAAACTGGTCTCTCAGTTCTTTCCCAAACTTAACATTCTATCTCCCCTCTCTCTGTCTTTGTAAAGGTTATCCCCCATGCCTGTCCTTACCTCCAACTCCTAGAATCACTGGCTTCTGTCAAGAGTTCAGCTCAAGAGCCACATGATCTATGAGACCTTTCCTGATTCCTTCCAGCTGCTAGTGCCTCTTCCCCCTCCACCAAAATTAGCTTGTATTTACTCTACATTTACTTGTATTTACATACAGTTTCCCTTCAGTGAATGTAAGCCAGTAGAGGGGAGAAAGTTTTGTTTTTGCCTTTGCATCCCCAGAGCCTAGTACAATGCTTTGCATGTAATAGGTGTTTAATAAATATTTGTTGAACCGAATAGAACATCCAGAACAGTCCATGCCAAAAAAAAAAAAAAACTGAGGCAGCTCAATTTAAATCTATAATTAGGCTTATAAATATATTAAGGAGCTGCCCACCACTTAACAGATTCCAAGTTCATTTCTAGTGTTGCTTCTTACAGGAAGTCCATCCTGATCCCCAAGTTGTTAGCGTCATTTCCCAGTGTAAATCATTATCTACTCTGTATATTTTTGGTATTTATATACTTTTCTGTTTACATGTTATTTTCCACTAGAAAAATGTAAGCTCCTTGATGACAAAGACTGTTGAGTTTCTATGTCTCCCCAGCACTTGGCATAGTGCATGGCACAGTGTGTGCACATGGCAGATACTTACTAAGTTCATGAATGTTCACCTAGATTTTGCTTAAAGACTTTTAGTGAAGGTAACTTTCCAAACTTTCCAGCCCATATCTCTTTTGTATGACTAATAATTAACTAAACCTTTCCTATAACTGAACCTAAAACTGTCCCTAAGCAATTTCCATATATTACTCTTAATTCTCTTCTCTGGATTAGAATAAATCTAATCCCTTTTCCAAATAATAGCACTTCAAATACTTGAAGAGAACCAAAGAGTCAACCCAAAAGCTCTCTTCTTATACCAACTCCCAGTTCTTTTAACTGAACTTCATGTCATAATATTCATGAGCAAGGATATTCACCATCATGGTTTGCTCTCTACTAGACACTGTCCAGATTATCAATGTCCTTCCTAAAATGTGGTGCCCAGAACTGAACACCATATTTCAGATGTAGTATGACCAGGAGAGAGTACAGTGAAACTATTATCATCCTAGTCTTGACACTCTACCTCTCTTAATAAAGCATAATATCACTAATTATTAGCTATTTTGATAGTCACACACTGAGGTTATAACAGCTCTCCTATTCTCCCCAATATTTTAAAGATCAGTGGCAGTGAATTAGCAATCATACTGGACAATTTTTAGTACTTGTGGATATAATATATTTGGGACTGGTGACTTGAACTTGGGAAAGGAAGCTAGGTGTTCTCAAACCATTCCTCTAACTATCGGTTTTCAGGTGCCTAGCTGTTTTTATTTGGTCCCTTCCAATACAAAGATCATTCTCCTCGACAGAAGGGAAAAGTCCAATTAGGCACTATAAATATTTATTATTAAACCACAGTTCCATTTAAGCATAATTCCAGTGAAATCTAATTATCACTTGAACAAACAAAAAAAGACTCTCAGAAAAAGCAAATCCCAGGCAGTTAATAGACTGCTGTTTCCAATACAGCTAATTTCAAATTATGTACATGTAGATTTACCATAGCAAATCTTTAATCCTAAAATAATTCTCTATTGTCTACTAATCCATGCTCCTGGGCCACTTCCATTAGCCACAGCCAGTAAAGTCAACAAGCATTTTTTTTTTAAAAAGGCTGGGTCTCCCTATCTTGCCCAAATTGGAATTACACGGGCTATTCAAGGCTCTGACTGGCATAGGGAGGGGTAACTTGTTTCCAATATAGTATAATTCAGGCCTCTTTAGGCAACCTTGTAGGACACCCCACTACCACCACCACCACCACCACCCCCACCACCACTACCACCAAGCTCACCTGATTAGTATCCAACTAAGTACAGATGCCTATTTGGTTTAGGCCACTGCAGCACAGAACTCCCAGTTCAAGAGCTCAAGAGCTCCACTAGTCTAAGCTTCATTGGTAGCTGGGAATAGAGGCTGGTCACCATACCCAGTCTCAACAAGCTTTTATTGAGCACAGAAAAGAAGAAAAAAGTCCTTGCCCTAAAGAAATTTCCATTCAAATAGAGGAATCAACATGCAAATAACCAGATACAGAGAAAATAGAGAAAACACAGATAGAAGGTAAACTCAGAGGGGAAGGGACCATAGAAGGTAAACTCAGAGGGGAAGGGACCAACAGTTCGTGGGACCAGGAAAAGCCTTCTGCAAAATCTTGTGCTAAATCTTGAAGGAATCCAAGGAACCTAAGAGCCAGAGAGAAGAGAATGTATTCCAGGCGTGGAAAACAGGCATAAAAAGGCAGAGAGACAGGAGATGGACGGTCAGTAGGCCAGCATAGCTGGATCACAGAATGTGTGGAGGGAAGTAAAATGTAAGGAGACTGGAAAGGTAGGAAGGAGTCAAGTTGTGAATAGCTTTAAATGTCAAATAAGACATTTCATATTTGCTACTAGAATAGGGAGCCCCTGGAGTTTATTGAGGGGGAAAGTCAGACCTATGCTTTAGAAAAATTGCTTGGGAAGATGACAGAGTAGCAAGTAAGACCAGACAAGCTCTCCCCCACAACTCCTCCACAAATATCTAGAAAATGCAACAAACTGAGCCAAAGAAAAAAAAGATTCCAAAATTAATAGAGGAAAGGAAAGCTGTGGTTATAGTTTCCCTAGATATAAGTTTTTGACAGAATATCTTATACTATTCTTATGGAGAAATGGATTAGACAATAATAAAATGAGATAATTTTTAAAATTACTTAAGCAGTCAATGTTATTTTAAAGAATGCAAACTAATTTTTAAATTAGTATATGTAAAATTAACATAAAGAAGAAAATCCACCGTTGTTATTTAGCACAAATAATCAAGAGCTAATTCTACTTGAATAAGCTCAAGTGCAACAGAAGAAATTGCCTGACTTTAATTTGGAGAATAACCACTACTTCCCAGTGTCACAAAAGAAATCACTTCACAGGAATAAACCATTGCCTCCAGCCATTCAGCTGTAGGTTTCTCCTACCACAACCCCACTACAAAGTATTCCATATCCAGCATACATTATATATTCCACTGCTGTAGTTTGCATGTTCCATGTGGACACTCAGAAATGTAGGATTACTTGGGTAGAATAAGAATCTTTAAAAGGTTAATATTAAAATAGGTTATAGAAGTTAATCTTTTACTCAAATAAGAATCAAATTTAGAAAAATAATTCACAATAACGGTAATTTTTGGAGCTATACCTGGTTATCTTTGTATCTACTGAGATCTGCTATGCAGTATTCTTTGAATAATTTATCATAGTATTTCTTTGCAAGCCTCTTCTCCCTGGAGTCAGAAATATATAAATATTACAACTTTAGAAATCTAACCAGAATTATTACTTGGAAGCAAGGTCAAATTAAACAACATAAACAGAAAATACAATGATTGATTTTAAAAGACATAGATGAAAGTGCATTACAAATACAATTTTACTAAGAAATCTAATAAATTATTTTTTAAAAATGCAAGTCAAATAAATGAAAGTTTAAATAAAATTGCCAGGAATTAGCAAAAGACTCAAGAAATACTCTCCTATCCTAGAAATTTTCTAACATGTGCCTACGAGAAGTCCCAAGAAGTAGTTGGGCCTGTTGGCTAGTTACTGGAGCAGCTCAATAGTAATAACTAAAATAACTTCATTTAAAAGGCATTTATCACCATTTAAATATTAAATAACCCTATTCAATAAGTCAATTCATTCAGCTTTTTGGGGGTATAGTACCTTGCGCCTTCCTGTATCAAAAGGAAATGACTTTCTCTTTAACCAAAAACAGACTATCTGTGCTCTGGTTACTATCAAAGAAGATAATCATCAACTGACTATGACCAAAGATCTGCTACATGTTCAACCAAGACATCTTCTATCAAGTTAGGTTATCAGAAAGCAGAGGACCTGGACCACAGTAATAAGAAATGACATTTATACAGCACTTCAAAAGTTTGAAAAGTGCTTTATATATATGGAATGGGGGACTGGTTAGCAGGTCTAGTGTCCCCCACATGACAGAGATGGGAGGCTGCTTCCAGAAGGACATCAAATGGCATGTAAGGGAAGAACCCTACTCCCTGATCTGGAGCATGCACAGGCACTCTGTAGTTCTGGTCCACTAACTGCATGGTGAAGAAAGACTTTTTTGATTGTCTATGGAGCCAGACCTGGGGTAGAAGCGGGGGGGGGGGTGTTTAAAAGGCACTAACAAGCCAAAACAAGGCTATTATTGCAATTCTTTCATGCCTGACTGCTGTTCTCAGGAAAGAGACAATGCTGTAAGCCCCACACATTAAAAGGTTTTGGGCTTTCCCCATCAGAAGCAAACATGTGATTTGGGATAAAGATCCTCAGAGCTTACAAAGGCATCTTCTCTAACCATATCATTTCAACCATTTTCTTGCCCAAAGTAATGCCCTCAGTGAGTTTTAATCCTATGTTTTCAATATTTAAGAGGTTCAATAAAATAATGGTCCAAAATTATACAGCAATTTGTTGCTTTTAATTCACTAAGTACATCCCTCATGACCAAGCCCTTCATTCCACCAGGGAGGATAATGAAATTAAGAGAAGTGAGGAAAATTGCCCAAAGTCACATAACTAATTAGTAGTAGAATTAGGAGTAGAATTTTGTTCTCCTCACTCCTGGCCTAGCTCTTTCCACTATATCACCCTACCTCCAAGGCTTTATTTCCTTAATATTCCAAATTAGTAAAGTTTTTATAAACCAAATTATTGAAGAGTTTGAATTATTTCTTTGCATTTTCCTCCCTACTTTTCCAACCAAGGTAACAATAGGAATCTGAAAATCAACCATCAAAGAACCTCAATGTGACATGTCCCCATGTAATAAAAATCACCAAGTCATGTCCATTTCATCTTCTTCATTCCATAGGAATTTATGATTTTCTCTTATAACATCCAAGTCTGTCTTGTCATTTTCCCTAGAAAAGATAATGTTTTGTGAATTATTTAATTTAAATGTAATTTCAAACAAAAGTGCATGCCCAGATTCACTAGTATTTGGGGTGAATTTATCCCAAAGAGGCCATTCAGCAAACATTACAATCACAGATATACACGGTCAACTGTAAAAATTTCCTAGTGATACCTGGTCAGAGAAAAAACAAAAGAGAAAGAACAAAAACAAAGCAAAATAAAAAGGGTCCAAGAGTTGTTCCTGGAACAGAAGTTGTGGGGTTAAACAGATCCTTATGCTTATGTAGAATAATTTGTAAATGTAGCCTTCACTATACCAAACTTTATATCCATGATGACTAACAGATAAAGAAAAAAGATAAAGCATTTAGTAAGCACTTATTATGTGCTAAGCACAGTGAGGATACAGCTGAAAGTGACCTGGAGGTTTGTATCTCCACAAGACAAGGCAAAAAGCTCACCTATCAGAGCCAAGGATCCAGGGGTAAAGTCCAAATGTCTGGTATGACGAAGATGGAAGAAGAAAAGGGCCATGATAAGGGGACAAAAAGGGAAATGGCAACTTGGGGTCCAGAAAGAAAAGGCAAAGTTTACCTATCAGAGTTGGAGGACCAAAGTAGACACCAGCACAACACACGCTCTAGGTCATGAAACTAGGAAACACTATACCTCTAATTCACGTAACTTTCTGCAAGGCTATATAAACTATACACTTCTAATTTACATAAATTTGTCATTATAATACTTACCCTGAACGTTTGAAATCTTCTTTTTTACCACCATAATACAAAATATAATCATTCACCAACTTCTTATGTCTTTCATACTGAAATATGAAAAATTAAGGAATTTTTACCCTTAAAAGCTATTGTTACTTCATTAATGAATGGTATGCTGCTTCATAATGCCATTCATTCCAATAACCACATAATGAAATATAGAATGTCTCATTTCTAAAAACATAAGGGGAATTCACTTTTCTGCCTAGAAAAATAAGATTCGGCTAACCTGGCATAATTCAAGACTGAGGAGGGTAAACCACAACTTTTAAAACTGAATTGTACATTTAAGAATTCCGATCAACACAATGGAACCAATTCCAGAGAATTTATGATGAAACATACTATCCACCTCTAGACAGATAAGATGATAGACTTAGAATGCAGACTGACACATTTTTTAGACATGACTAATGTGGCAATTTGACTATACATATTTGTAGCAGGTTTTGTTTTTCTTGCTTTCTCAATGGATGGGGGAGGGGAAGAGGAGGGGAGAGAGAGGATTCAGAACTGAAAATAAAATTGAATTAAATAAAAAACAATCTCACTATTAGGTTCATAAAATAAAAATCTACTTACAAATGATAGACAAAAGCAAAATTGTTTTCAGAACGGAGTGTGATTTAAATTGCTCTAAATATACATTATATAAAAACGCTTATAAATCAATAAAATGGAACACTCACTAAAAATTTTAAAATTATGATTATAACCTTTAACTTAGAATCACAGAATTTTACATTTGGAAGGGAACTCAGATGGCATCTAGTCCAATTTGCTGGAAATTTGAATCCTTCTACACATCTCCCTAAGAGTGGTCATCCATTCAGTTTCGTAAATGGAAATATCTTTTACAAGAGGTCTTTTAAATAAAATTCATAAATAACAGTTACTCATATTTAAGTAGTACTATAAGGCAGTGGGAAAATCTATGAAGATTTTGAATAGATGAGTCACTTCTCAAGGCATTTATAGTAATTCATTCATTTACTAGTTTATGCATCAGTTCCCTCCCCCTCCTCCCCCCCCTAATTTCCCCACCTCCAGTAAGGTAAAACTGACTTGGGGAAGTAGTAAAAGGGAGGAGAGGAAAAACAAAACATCTAAATAACACTAGCTCTTCCTATCCCTGGCTTCAGCAAAAGTTGCCCTGATCCACATCATGTTTCAATCAAGTTCTTTTCATCTCCCAGTATTTTCAGCAGCAATATGGACAGGTCAGTAGTCAGGAAAAACTGAAAATGTGGATCAGTCCCATGAAGAAACTGAACTGGTGCCATTGTTTCAGGTACAAGGTTTGTAGGGAGAAGGAAACTTTAAAAGGCTATTTTAGAGGCCAAAAGCCACAGCAGGCCTAGGAACATACCACAAACTGACCTAACTAGAGCCTTCAGGTACAGGTTCTGCAGATTTTAAATGTGAAAGGTCCTGAGTTAGAAGGTCATTACAAACCAGACACAATGAAGTAGGACAGGCAAGAAAAACTTATTCAAGCTGGTATATTTCTTAAATCTCTCCCTAAAGCTTCAGAAATGTTTTACTATTTTCTGTCACTGTCTTAACTTAAGGTGCTAACAAAATATATTATCCATTAGGATAAATGGAAAAATTTTACTTCAATAATGACACATATATACATATATACATTCAATAATGAAAAATATAGCTCTAAATTTCTAGAGAAGATTTCACTGAAATAAAAAAAGATTTTTCGATGTTCCGCTATTCATTAAAGGAGTGAAAATCATTAAAAGGATACAGCATTCATAGCTATTAGATGAAACCTTCTATTTCTCGCTTCTTCCCTGTTAAAAGAAATTTTAAGAACATTAAAAGTTCTAAAATTTTTATAGATTCAAATCCCCTAGGTTTATTTGAATAAACATTATATAAACCATGAAAAAAATTTACAAACTCAAAAATTCACAATAAAATATCTTACCGATCCAGCTCCTCTGCTGCAACACGTCTATGAGACACTTTTGCATATTTTTCTTTCTGAAATGGCTTTTTGAGCAATGAATCTTCATTAATTGTCCTAGTGCATTAAGTATGAGGAAAAAAGAATACATGTTTCTAGTTAAAATAGTTTTTCTGGCATTTCATATTTTCCAATTGGGTAATATGTTTTAGGACATTCAGCAATAAATTCCAAATAAATGTAATAGAAGCTCAATGTTTGGCCTAAAAATGAAACTAGTAACCTTGAAGTAACAATTTCCTATCTCTGTAACTTGAATTTTCATACCTCTAAAATGGAAAAAAAAAAAAAACATTCCCCACATCCTTACTTCACAGGGGTTCATGTGTATAAATAAAGATCTTTAGAGGGCTCGGCTCTTCCAGGTCTCAAATTCTATCATGCTAGGATGGATGAACTTCCTTTGGGCATTTTTTATTCCTTCATTGAGAAGCATTACATAAAATGAAATAGACACTTGATCCATAAGCTTCAGTCTAGGATTCAGTCCTCTCAATAATATATGAGAAAGACAATGTGCTGCTATGCTTTGCCTTCCAGCTCTGCTTCTGACTCTCCAAACTGTGTCACCATGCTTTAGCTGCCTTCTCACCCGGAAAGCTGTCAGCACCTGTGGTCCTATTCTGGAGCATCCTTGGGCCTAGGCAGTGCCCTTCTCCCATTGGTGTGTTCCTCTCAGAGAATGTTTTTGAAGAAGAGTGCCAGCCAGTTATCCATCATTCCTCTCCTGGCTTTGCTTTTTGCTCTCCAAATTGTTACTCCCATTCTCCTCCACCTTCCTTTAAACTTCCCTTTAAGTGTGTCTTCCCACATTAGAATGTAAGCACCTCGAGGACAAGGGCTGTCTTTTTACTTCTACTTGTATCCTCAGTGCTGAGCATTACAGCGGCAGACTGTAAACCATCTATGCCCATTTATCCGGGGTGACTCTTGTTCATGTCCTCCATAAATTCTCCAGGAAGGTGACTGCTCGAGCACTGGAAGCTTTCCTCCCTTACTATGACACTGCAAGGGTACCCGTGCAACACTGGCTGTCCATCTGTCATCCCTAATTCCTGCTAAGTGACCAACCCATCTTCTTTTCCTTTTCTTTTTCCTTCCCTTTCACCTTTAAATATAAGATGATTTTTACTGGAGTCAGTAAAGCTTCCCATGAAAGCAAAGACCTATCTTTTGAATAGTTATAAACATATGGCACACAGTACAGAGTTATACTATACATTTTTAATCTCAGCCTTAATACATTCTTTTGAAGCATTTTGCCCTCCTTGGCTATGGCTACCTTATCTCATTTGCCATACAATTGCTCTTGGCTATTATATCATATATTTTCTGTACATATTCAATGGAGAGAAGATGCGCTGTGCTACACTTTACTCAATGTCAATAGACTGGCTATATCCTAGGAACTTATCATTGATAGATTTGTCTTGTGATTTATGACTAGTATAGAGAGGATGCTAATGAAACTGAATGAGAGATATAAAGCAGGAGTAGACCTAACAGGCACAAAGAATAAGTTCTTCGATGTTCAGTCTGCAAACTCAGTGTAAATGCCACACTATATCAATTACCAAAAGGACATGCTGACCTTCTAGATTCAGTTTTATACTTTCTTATATCACTGCATCACTAAAGAGTATGATATTGAAATACAAGAAATGATTAGCTGTTTTCAGCTTTGCAGTGTTGATGGAAACCTTTAACATTAGTAGGTAAAAATTCTTCACATTAGCAGTTATTCCTTAATGCAGCCTAATAGTATATGAACTTCAAGCAAAGACTGGATGACCATTTTGTCAGGTATGTTGTAGAGAAGATTCTTGTGGCGTTGGACAGATGGTTTCTAATATCCCTTCCAACTATAAGACTCCATGATTCATCAGACCGTATCACTATGCTAGCTCTTGCAAAACGGCCCAATATCATTAGCATGTCTAAACACTCAGTTTAAGATAACAATCAGTAGCCCACAAGGTGTTACTAGTAAATTTTTTTTAAAGAAAACACACCATAATGTACATAAATAAATGAACATTATTCCCTTCAAAGTAACTAATTTGGTAGACTCTACCCATTACAATGAAGCTAATGTTGCTCAAAACACTTTTGGAACCTTCTTTGTGGCTTGCAACATAATCTTTAATAGTCTCAAAGGTGGTAAGTCATCATCCTTTGAGGATGAGGCTGAAGGTAATTCAGATCTACGTGTTAAATAAGATGGATAATCAAACTAGGCTACACTATTTTTTCATTAAAAATTGTTTCACACAAAGGCTACTGTGCAAAATCCTATAATGGTAAAGAAGCTAACACTGACGTGTAATTCATTCCATTTTTGTCATGAAGAATTTCGCAAAAAACTTTAGAATTTCTACTTAATTAGTTTAGGTGAATGTTTAGCTTTGTAAGATAAATCATATCACTCGTTTCATGAAGCCTTCCCTGATATCCCAACCATTTGTTGCTTCTCCTTCCTCTGAACCCCATGACATGAAAAGCACTTAGTGTTCTATCTCCCTGATGACACACCACATTTTGTCTTTTATTAAAGCTAAGGATTTTGAAGTCCTACACAATAAAACTAAAGACTCTGGAAGCATATATGAGGTTGTTGGTTTTTTTAATCATTTCTGTTGACTGAAGGTAGTAAATTCAGAAAAGACAGGAAGAATTGAAAAAGGGAAGAACAAACTAAAACACTGTGTCCAAGAATAGGATTTTCATATCCAGCGTTCCTGAAGTCTTACGAATCTAAAAAAGTGAGTTTTAAACTAAAGAAGGGGAAGGGAAAACAGCCCACAGAGATCTGAAAAGCCTAGTTCCACGTAGAGTAACAGGTACAACACAGGAAGAGGAACCAACAAAGGGGTTCCAGAATAGAGTTCTGGATCTGATTCTCACCAACAACAGAGAATTGGCTACTGGACTGGAAATGCTGTGAACTGACCACTCACTTAATTTGTGCTGAGAAGTGAGGCCATAATCTGACATACACTCTAAATTTAGGGAAAGTAGATTTTAAAGAGTTAAAAAGAATAGGTATATTCTACGAATTTTCTATCTCTTGCTCTGTGAACAGTAAAAAAAAAAAAAAAATCAGTGCTACCACTGCTACTAAAAAAGAAGAGACAATTGACTACCCTTTGGTCCTACTCCCAATCCCTATGACTCCAAAGACCAAAACTCCTTTCTTTGCCTTCTCTGGTCATCTCTTCCTAATATGTGTTCTTTTCCCTATTAGAATGTAAGATCCTTAAGGGCAGAAACTGTTTTACTTTCGTATAATTTGTCCTTAGCACCTAGCAAAATGCCAGGCACATAGCAGGCACTTAAAAATGTTTTTTCACGGGGCAGCTAGGTGGCGCAGTGGATAGAACACGGGCCCTGAATTCAAATACGAACTAAGACCAAACACTTGACACTTACTAGCTTTACAACCTTGGGCAACTCACTTAACCCCAACTGCCTAAGCAAAAAAAAAAAAATTTTCACTCATTCATTTAACAATTCACTCAATAATGTGATATGACAGCCTTTTAAAAAACGAATGCATTCTCATGCTGCATTAAGATAAGGAAAGTTTCTAGTAGATTCAGTTCTGGGTACCATATTGTAGGAAAGTGAGTGTTCAAAGAAAGGTGACTAGAATGATGAAAGGCCTCAAATCCATACCACATCAGGATTCACTGAAGGAACTGGGGATGTTTAGCCTGGAGAACGGAAGATTCAAGGGGCACATGAGAGCTATTTTCAAGAACCTGAAAGACTGTCACGTGGAACAGGGATTAGACTTATTCTGTCTGGCCCCAGATGGCCAGTGGGTGGAAGTTACAACAAGGTAAATTTAGACTTGGTATGAGGAAAAACTTCCTAACATTCTAAGCTATCCAAAAGCGAGTTGGGCTATCTCTAGAGGACCTGGGTTCTACCCCTAGCTAGATGTCTTCAAGCAAAGGTTATGTAATCACAGGTTATGTGTGTGGTAGTCATGTTTCTTTTTCAGATATGGGTTGGACTAAGACAGTGAGGTTCCTAAAACTTCTGTAATACTGTAATTCTGGTAATACCAGAAGAAACAGAAGACAATGTCCAAGAAGAGGGCCAGCAATCAAACTCATGACATCAGATGTCTCAATTCAAATGCACAATGTGTGGAGTAATAAACAGAGTCAACTAGAGATCTTAATATAAATACAAGGAGGAAAATATGACCTCATAGGCACTTGATGGGATGGGACTCAGAACTTGAATATGGTTTTACAAGGATATGAATTATTTAAAAGGAACAGAATAAATTAAAGGAGGTAAAGTAATATTGTATACTAATGAAATAAGCTTCTGTGAAGAAATCCATTAGCCAGAGGAGAGAAATATGGTACAGACTAGGTAAGGAACAATAAAAGGGGAAATGAAAAGTGACACTGTTGCAGGGATATATTATGTATATTATGTGAACAGAAAGAAAAATTTGATGAAGAGTTTGGAAAACATCACAAAATTGGCACAGAAGCATGATACTGTAGTGGTCTATTGCTTAAACTATTCAAACATCTGCTGGAACTCTCTCACCACCAAAAGCAGAGGAGCTGAAAATTTGTGACCTGCTTCACTGATAATTTTATCCTTCAAAAGATATAAAGAGAAATAAGGAAGGACTACAAACCTTAGCCTGATTATGACAAAGCAGGAGGCACTGACTGCTGATGTAGAAAGACATTGAAAACCTCAAAGGCAAATAAAGTAGGTCCTCCTAGAAAGGAAGTCATAATCGGTTTCAGAACAGAAACAAGTTTTCCTTGTTTCTGCTACCTTACCAGAAATGGTAAGAGGATCAAAGAAGACATCATAAATGAATCAGCTGAAGAAACTACTATTTTTTTAGCTAGGAAAGAGAAGACTTAAGGAGAACTAGGTAGCTGTCTATGATTATCTAAAATGAGGAAAAGGGAGGACATATATTTTGCTTGGCC